CAGAAAAAGAATAACGTTCTGCTGTCCATCTATATCTACATTCTGCAGTAATAAAAAAAAAGATTACACTTATTTACTAATGGTCCCATCCCGGAAGTAAGAAAAATTGCAGTTCCACCCTCATCCGCTGGGGGCTGGTGCCAGAAGCGAGCAAATCCTCATTGACTCCCATGTTAAAAATGCCGATTTCACAGCAGAAATAAACATGTTTACAGCCTGGTACCAAAACATGTTTTTTGTCTAAATTATCTAGTTTATACTCATGACAACTCTGAGGGGGGTGAATTTTTTTTCTCACTCTTCTGTTTAAGTGTATTGAAAGCCTAAAATTCTGTATAATTAATGAGCATCCGACACACGTGACCGCCGCCTCAGACCCACGTGACCACAGAGCTAGCTCCGTGGAAAGGCCTCAGTACAGCCTCGGTCTGGCTTGGAAACTGCTCCGGCATTTTGAGTCTCTGTGTTTGTGTATTCTTCTTTGGATATTATTGGTGCAATTGTTGGACAAAATGACTTGCAGTGGTATTAATTGCACTAATAGAGCGTCCAAGGAGTCTCCACTTCATTTTTTTTGGTAAGTTAAAATCTATAGTCGTATTTATGTCACTGCCACCTTTAAACTAGCTGAGTTTACCGAAGTAGCTAGCTAACTATCAGTTTAACATGTAGCATGTACTGTTTAACCATGAAATTTAAATGTAAAATACGGTAAAATAATTAATAGGGCATATTTAGATGGGTAATAGGGTAAAACCCAGTGCATTTAAGATAAAAATGGGTTGAAATATGACGGAGCGCTAAGAGGGAGACTTCTGTGTCCAATCTTCCATCCGGTAATCCCCAGCGGTCAGGCCGGGAATCCTTACCGATCCGGCGCCTACTTGCTGCGCGGTCTGACCGCTCGTGGAGTTTTTCATGTCTGACTTTAACCGCATCTAATACTGTATTACGGCGTGAGCGCAACAGCGACAACTTAATATCGATGTGTAAGCAGCCTGTTTGGTAGGGTGTTTTCATCTGAACCCTTAAAACCTCCAGCAGGCTATGCTGCACTATTGACGTGTTAGCGCGTGGCGCTAACAACTTAGCAACGTGACATGTCTCTGAGAAAGCGTAAAACACGGACGCTTCTTCTGAAGCGGAAAATAACACTTCTTCTTAAGCAGAGCAGGATGTCGCCTCGGCTCGTTCACGGCCGAGCCGGACTGAGCTCGATAACATTGACCAAGCACAGCCACTGGGTCGTTGTAGCTGCCACCAGGCCTGCTGAAGGAACTCCAGCGGGTTTCATCAGACTCGTAAAGTTTCTTGTTTTTGCTGGGGATTTCTGTATTTTACCGCTCCCTCCTGCAGTCTTCCCCTATTAAAATTTAAAATGTTTAACTTTATGTATTGTGATGAATGACTAATATTCATGTAAAACTAAAACGTTAGGCATTTAGGGGGAAAAAACAAAATAATAAACATTATACAGATGTCAAATAAATCAAACTGTAATTAAACTATATATTTTCAAAGTCATATAGACAGCATGATGGTTTGTGTGATCCGCGCGGTTTCACTTACACCCCTTTAATGATCAGGCTGTTTTTTATTATTTTTATCAGCTGATAGCAGTTAAAATTATGGTAAAAAATACTTTTATCTGTTTTTGATAACTTAATGCCCAGGAAGAGCATCTTCTCTAGACATTAAATATAACCCAAATGTTTTACTATGAGCAGATCTGATGAAGGTGTAGACAAGCAGTCTACAAAGTAAAACTTGTTTAGAGTCCAAACTCTTACTAAAGCTTTTGAAAAGAAAAAATGGTTGAATTTTGAGAAATATCCACAACAGGGGAGCGAGACCTCTGAAAAATGTAAATTTTCTCTGAATTCATAGAATAATGTGAAGATTCTGGGAAAAGTTGGGATTCTGAGATTAAAACGTAAATCTTTCTTATCATAATTCTGGCAGTTTTTGTGTCCTTCTGCTGTGGAAAGTCGTGCAACATGAAGATACTGAGAAGATGCTTACAACCTGTATTTTTATTCCATCCATAAATAAAATCATGAGCTATTTTTTTAATCCAAATTTGATCCAAAGGGCCATCGTTGGTTCCAGACCCGTTCTAGAACATTCCTCTAATCTTAAAGTCATCATCAGTTTCTTCCTTTTAACAAATATTTATTTGTTCAAATATTTAATATTTATAACTGGAATATTTGTTCCTCCCTCTCCCACTGCAGTTAGCCCTGTCCTGCAACCCTGTTTTTGCAGCTTAGTGAAGCCAACCATCACTAACCTGGGGGTGGTTTTGGACCCAGAGATGCGGATGGACTCCCACATTAGCCAGGTGGTTAGATCCTGCTTTTCCCGGCTTTGCCAGCTACCAAAGATGAAGTCCATCCTGAAAGACGTGTCATATTTTCTCCCCAAGCCGGACCTGACCGTCATGTATCGGTCCAAAATAGTGTGATGATATTGTGTTTTTTGTACATAACAGACTTTTTAACAGACAAATTTGTCGCATTCTCCTACACCTCTTCACGGGCTCGCCACAGTAAATATTCTATTTGGCGAGAGATAAACTTTATTGTATTTATCCTAGTGAATCTATAATTAAACGGGTAAACTAGTAGCACCACATCCAACATCAAAGAAAGTAAAATGTTACTATCAGGAGAGGGAGAATGTTTAAGTGGTTAGCAGCAGTGTGCTAGTCGATGGCCCCCTCCATGAGGCCACCACAGCTCAGCAGAACGTCGTTGTAGCTTCTTCTGGGGAGAAAAACACTTTGAGAAAAAATAAAGTTAACAGCTGAAATAGCAGGAAAGAATACAGTTAAAGAGCAGATTGTAGAAGAAAGAAACCCCTGGGTTAAACTGGTCTGTCTACTGCATAATGCTGAACTCTAACATGTGTCCTCAGAGAAGGACCTGATTGGTGTCCAGAACCTGCTGAAGAAGCACCAGGCTCTGCAGGCTGAGATCACAGGTCATGAACCTCGCATCAAGGCTGTCACCCAGAAAGGAGAGACCATGGTGGAAGAAGGTAGAGCAGGTCTGGTCCTGACATGTTTCTGAGGTGTCTGCAGGTTCTGGCTCACTTTTTTTGGGTCCAGGTCACTTCGCTGGTGAGGAAGTGAAGACTAAACTGTGGGAGCTTCATGGACGTTGGGACACGCTGAAGGCCAAGGCGTCCCAGAGGAGGCAGGACCTGGAGGACTCTCTGCAGGCCCAGCAGTACTTTGCGGATGCTAATGAGGCCGAGTCCTGGATGAGGGAGAAGGAGCCCATCGTTGGAAGTCCAGACTAACGGAAAGACGAGGACTTGGCCGAGGTATGGAAGTCCCTTCCTGAGAAACTCCAATCGCTTTTCTTTGCTCTCTTTCCAGTCCTTCATAATTAGTGTTTCTGTATTTGTCATTTCCTTCGGTTGTCAACCAGACGTCGTTGCTCGTTTGAGCGTCTCATGGGTTAGGGGTAGAAGTGCTGGCCTCGCACAGGAAGTGATGACAAACGTGTTCCCGTCGCTCTTATTTCAAACGGTTTACAAGCTGTGATGTGTGTTCCCGCTGCAGAGCAGCCATGACACGTGGCAGCCGGCAGAAGGCTCACGCTTTTCCACTAAACACCCGCAGAGCTGCGTCTGCGGTGAACTGAGCAGGGTTTGTTTTACGGTGGCGGATCCGATTGGACCATCGCTGCGAGAAAGCTCCACTTGTGTCAGACGAGCTGAAGGTTCTGAAGTTCTGCTGCACAGGCTCTCCTGAAGAAGCACGAGGCCCTGATGTCGGACCTGTCGGCTTACGGCAGCAGCATCCAGGCCCTGAAGGAGCAGGCCCAGTCCTGCAGGGTGAGTTCAGAACCCTCGGCCCGTCAGAACATTCTTATCCACCACGTTCTAACACCAGACCTGTTAACCCGAACGCAACAAGGTAATCAGCAGGTGCTTTTGTCCTGCAGGACCTGAAGGCCAACGAGTCCCGCCTGAGGGACATCAACAAGGTGGCATCTGAACTGGAGTCAGAAGGTCTGATGGCTGAGGAGGCTCCTATGGTTCAGGCTCAGGTGAGCGTCACCTGTCTGCAGCAGCTGGTCCCTCTCACTTCCTGGTTTAACTCTGCTCGTCTCTGTTTGTAGCAACAAAAACATCTGGGTTCTGCTCCTGGAAAGGTGCATGTTGTCCTCCGCCTCCACCAGAACCAGACGTGGTGTTTATGTTACCACTCATTTGTTTGTTTGTTTGTTTGTTTACAGGATGAAGCCGACTCTAACACGGCGTCACCCTGGAAGGTGAGTTCATTCAGCTGATCAGAGGTCACCTCTGATGGCAGCAGTCACGGCCGACCGTGCTGACATCACACAGGAATTCAGGTGACCCGGCAGGCACCAGGTGCTGGTGAAAGTGGGGACATGTCAGCTGGTTGCCATGGCTACAGTTATCTTTATGCATCTGTATGACTGCTGACTGGTGTGTGTTTCCTGTGACCTTTGACCTCAGACCGTACGGTTGGGCGTTCAGACGACGGCTAACTTTAATTCCATCAAGGTAAGAGGAAGCTCTTCCCTTCCTGTCTGAGCGATCCGTCTCCAGGTTTCTTCGTCCGGCGTCCAGCCCGCTGGCGTCCACCTTCATCTCACCTTCATCTCATCTCACTTCATTTATAGTGCAATACTTTCACATTATCATTTTCCCACACTTCTGTATACCTGTATTTTTTTGTTTTTCAATAAAGAATGACAAATTATTTAAGTTTGGTTTTTGTTGCACACAAATATATATCTGTAAAAAATATCTACAAAGCTAATGTTTACATAACAAGTATGATTGGGTTTTGCAATACGGCACTCAAGTTTATTTTAGTAAGATTTTCAAACCAAGTAAAGTTAGTAAAGAACACATTTCTATTGTCTGCTAAGAAACTGTTGGGATTTAAAATGGGCCTGTTGTACAAATAACTTGTAAATGATTATTCCTCACTTTTGTCTTAACCAAAGAAATTCCAGTAATTGAGCAAAAACATTTATTTTTAACACTACAGTTTATAAAACAGGGCGCAAAGTGTCGGCACATGTATGTATGTCGATGGTCCGCCCCAACCAAACCAAGAGACACAGACGTCAGGGAGGCCAAGGTTGTCTCTGCAGCTCTCTGGGCACCACGCCTCACTCAGCTGTCTCCAATGATCCAAATGGCTATGGAGGAAAAAATAACAGGTTTGGCCTAGCTGTTTAAAGTACAAAACCATTCATGAAGTGGTCAAGACAAGTACTTGGTACTTACACTTGCTGCTTTGTGTAGCTGACGTTGACACACAGGCTGCCATGGTGACCTTTTAATAGATCTAAGAAAAAAATGTAATAAAAGAATGAAACTTAAAAACTCCCAGACCTCATGTCATATTTACTAATCAGCTATGGCTGATTTGTTTGGATCACAGTGAGTTACACTAATTCTAATATATTTTTATTTCTATTATACATACATACTTTTTAACTGTTATTTTCACATGACTGTTATCAGGCTCTCTTGTTCTGGTTCTGATGATAACTCTGTCTTCCAGTAAGTTATCTTGTGCTTACTTCATCTGTAGAATGTCTCTTTACTTTTGGTAAATTGTACTGAGTCCAGAATAAAGACTAGTTGGCTGTACAAGATACAAACAAGTATTACGTTTTGGAAATATATGAAACACCGCCAGCATCTGTTAGAGCCTGTGGCGGGGTGCTGAGGGCCGGCTCCAGCCCAGGAATGAGCTCTACACGCCGGCCGGGAGGGTTTCAAACACCGCCATCCTCTCCTCTGCTGGCTGTTCATTCTGTTATGGTTACCGGTGCTTGTGTTGCAATGTGAAACGCTTGGTCTCAGATTTTGTAAGAAAGATAATAAAATATCCCCCCAAAATACGACTTAAATATATTTTCTCTTCTTCATGATACATTTAATGGCTGGTGCGACTCAGGAGTGATAGCGCCGAAAAAAACTGTACTGAAAACTTGCTCAAAGCAAAATGTATTCATTACGGAAATAAATTATAAACTTACCGATTTAAAACTTTTTTAATACAGGTACTTCTCACGAACAGGCGCAGAAAACCTCCACCTAAACTCCGTGTGAGGTTCAGGTCGATGGGTGTTCCAGTTAGCTCCGGTTGGGTTGAAGCTAGGTGGCTACATCCGTTAGCTCGGCTCCCACCTCCGCTTTAGCTTTGGGTTAGCCAGGGTTAGCTTCAGGTTAGCTCGTAGCTAGTTCGCCTGGGTGTCGTCACTCGAGCCCAGCCTTACAGCCACACCCTCAGCGCCTCCTCTCTTCCCTTTTATGGAGTTGTCTGGGCTGGACGTAACCTGTGACACGGTCAAAATGGCGGTGGTGGCCACCTCCCATTATAGACAACAAACGTGTTATTGAAGCCAATGGAATCCGTTTGTCCAGTATTTACAGTCTATGAATCACACGCACACACACACAGACTCACACACACACACGAGTAAAAATTATATTAGGCTGAGTCCAGATGAGCCAAGTATGGTAACGCAAGGAAACGCCATCAGAGGAGCCGTCTGTCCCGGCAGCATCAGGTCTTCCACACTAACTCAGGGCGCTCAGTGGAGGGGGAGCATAGACCCCCACCTATAGAGCGCCCAGGAAGCTACAGTCGACCACCGCTCTCGGGGCAGAGGGCCCCCACAGAGGAAACACTGGATTAAAATGAGTAAAAATGTAATAAAAGAGCTAATATAAATGACAACAATTAGAAAATAAGTAATAAATAAAATCATATAGACAGTAAAATAATAATTTAAATAATAAAACTGTGCTAAAATATAATCATATAGAATATGCAAAGCAAGTAATGAAATATAATCATGTAAAACGAGAAATAAAACTGTAGTAAATATTTAGATAAAAGCTAACCTAAAAAGATGGGTCTTGAGTCTTGACTTAAAAACATGAACGTTCTCTGAGGCCCTGAGGTCCTCTGGCAGCTCGTTCCAGAGGCGAGGGCCATAACACTGGAAGGACGCCTCGCCGTGAGTTTGTGTCCTGACTTTAGGGATGACCAGGAGACGCCTGCCAGAGGAGCGCAGAGTCCGCGAGGGTTCATATTGTAAAAGCAGTTCTGATAGATAAGAAGGCCCAAGACCGTTGATACATCTTTACAAGGTAGTAAAACATTTGAGCTTTATAAATCCAGGATAATAAGGGCCAAGATATACTTGCTGTTTGACCTCACGATGGCGCAGGCAGCAGGCTGCGTCTTTGTTCACCTACTTGCCTCTACATGGCACAGCACTGCACTGCTTGTAGTACTGGAGTGTTCCACTAGGGGTGGACTAGAGAACTCAAGACTGGAAAGAGAGCCGGGTTTGTGAGTACAACCAAAACAAACATGGTGTCAATAAAATAGCTTACTAACTGGTTAATTTTGAGATAACAACAGAAAAAAAAGACAGTAGCTGTAGCATAGATGGTATGAAAGACATCTAAACTAGGGACAGTCACCAAGGTGAGCGTGTCTCACTCGTTTTGTTAAATTCACCTACTGGTTATTCATATATTACAGAGTTGGGACGCCTCGAAGTAATTTCGGGGGATGTGTTTCAAATCAACGCAAATGACATGTAGCAGCCTTTTAAATCATACGTTTGCGTCATTAAACAGCAAGTATCTAAGTGATTAAACTGAATCCACAAGGAAGCTTTAGTTTAGGAGCAGAATGTGACCAGCAACTCTGATGTCAATCAGAAATAGGAATGCCACATTTGGGACCCGAATCTGAAATGTTTGGATTGGATCAGGATAGCCCTGATAATAATGGCACATGCAGATCTGTGATTGTTGGGTGCAAGGGCGGAAATCCCATTTCAATTTTGGGGGGGACAATAAACAGTAAAACTTCAGAGTAATTTTTGGGGGGACATGAAAAAAAAAGCTCTCTACATACAATTTGTACGTCCTTATAAGCAGAGGTGGAAAGAGTACTAAAATTTCCTACTTAATTACGAGTACCAATACTTTGATAATTTTTTACTCAATTACAAGTAAAAGTACTTGCCTAAATTTTTACTCAAGTAAAAGTAAAAAGTATCGTAAACAAAATGTACTCAAAAGTAAAAGTTACTTAGTTACATTTTGTCAGCGTAAGGATGGCTACATCTAAGTAGTGCTAAATTACAACGCCAGTTCACAATTCGCTCATGTGTGTGCGCGCGCGCACACACACTCAAACACGCAAGGCTTGAAGGAGGGATTTCTATCCATTCAGTGAGAACAGGACATGCACATTGATTGGACGAGGTTTTTCTGGGATGGTAAGTTTCAATTGTGATCAAAATTATTCTTTATTTTGAGAAAAAATAATTTTTTTAGATGCCATCAGGATGTGAGATATCTCAATGTTTTCATGACAAAACTCTAACATGAGACTGTGCTCTAACCTGTCACATAACAAGCTAAATGAAAGTCTAACATTTCAGATGGACCGTATGACAGCTGCTAATGTTGGGCCTGCCCTACTTTACCTCTACATTACAGTTCCTTTATCCATGTCCATCCTAGACCTCCTCTCTGACCTTCATGCTTATTTAGAGCAGCTGATTTTTAAAGTTAGCAGAGTTCATCCTTGGTAGTGGGTTCACTCACTCATTTAGCCGATCACCACTGAAATCAGTTTGTTCATTCCAATCCTCCTAAATAATCCTCCAATCATCCAACTGGAATCCTTGAGGGTCCCGTAACGTCCATCCTGTCAGAATAGGCCTTGGGAGCCCAGGTGTTACTAGAACTAATGGTGTCTCCTCACCAGCGTGAGCCAGTCTGTGTATGGTGCGGTATGGGGGCCGAAATTAAGACTACTGCCCAGCAGCAGAAGGCTATATAGCAAACTACCGACCTGATTAATGATAAGCTGGCACCGGTAACTGAGAGGCTTGCGCTGCTTACTGAGGAATAGCACCTTTACCGGTGTTACTACTACATATGCTAGGGACTAGCAGCCCTCGGCTGGTCATTGACTGGTTCAAACACTCCCTCTGCTGTCTATTAGCATGGATAGGTTAGCGTTAGCCTGGACGGGCTGGTGTTAGCATTGGAGAGGCTAACCATTAGCGTGCCTAGGCTGGCCACTAGCTGGATTTCCTACCCACTTGATGGACCATTAGCATGGATAGGCTGGCATTAGCATTGGAGAGGCTAGCCATTAGCGTACCTAGGTTGGCCACTAGCTGACTAGTGACTCTCCGAGACATGCTAATGGCTAGCCTCTCCGATGTTAATGCCAGCCTATCCATGCTAATGTTCCGTCAAGGGGGTAGGAAATCCAGCTACTAAAATCCAAATAGTTCCATATTGATAGTAATATATTTGAAATTTCCTTCTAAATATGTCTAGAAAAAATAACAAACTTCAAATCAGCTTTCACAAGTCAAGTATCAAAATGACTGAAATTGTCACAAACTCCTCCAGCTGACTCCATTTTCCAGCATTCTCACCACCATTTCCCAACATTCCCGCCACCAACGTGGCCGCCGACGTCATCACGCCGACACTATATAAGGAAGTGCCGGCGTTTCATTCATTACTCTGTCATCGTTCTCACCTGACTTTGAATCGAGTTCTCAGGCTTACCAGCCTTCAAACCGAACCTAAAGGAGCTAGACCCCGCTATTTATCTCCACCACTCCGCGTCTGGGCAACAGACCTTCTCAGCCATGCTTCAGCTCTGCCACCAAACCTGACAGGATGACAGAGTCTAAAGTTGACCCAGCGGAGTTCGCTCGTCTGCCTGTTGAAGTGGTTCAACTGCGCGCAGCTATCGATCAGCATACGGCAGAAATGAACCAGCTCCGTGTCTCTTCGGAGAATCTTGTGTTACGTCCTCTATTGGTGGATATGGAGAAGGACGGGGAGTAACACAGAGGCATGTGCTTCAGTTGTGGAAATTGTAAACATTGATTTATTAAAAAGATTTTAAAATGACAAAAAGCTCCAAATCTAAAAGTACTTAAACACATTGTTAAAATGGCCAAGGGTTTAAGTTTAAAACAGACATCGAATGCTCCCAAAGATTCACAAAACAAAGTCCACTGACTTAAACACAAGTTTGGGAGCCACGAGGTAACCAGCACTCTGGTCCCTCGTCTGATAAAAACCTTTAAAGGCTCTTAAGCTTCACTAAGCTTAAAGAACTAAAAACCCATTTAAAAGCCATTAAAACACAAACAAATGGAGCACATGAGAGAACTGGCACAGATCCAGTCGCTCCCTTCCTCCTGGCAGCTCTCCCTTTTATGCTGCTCAGGAGGTGATCAGCCCAAGTGAATGCAGCTGTGCAGGTAGGAGGTGGAGGCAGCACTGATTGTCCTCTGCAGTGTCAGCTTTCTGAGGCAAACAGCAACAGCCGTAACACTTCCTCCCTTAAAAGAAAGAAAAAAAAATTAAAACACGTTCAACCACAATTTTTTTTCTTTCACCTTTGTCCTCCATGGCTTTTATCACAAACACTCCCAGGTCTTTTGTCCAACAAGAATTCCCTCTAGCTAATGGAAGGAGTTCTAGCTGATCTCCACCTTAGTCTTCATGGGGCGTAGAGATGGGCTGATTAAGCACATGTGCCGAGGCACATTCAAACCAGCAAAGGGAGGGGGTTAGCCACAGCCCTTCCTGGGGTGCTCCCGAGATGGTGAACTGAATCACCAACACTAACCTCCATAACCCCAACTCTAGAAAAACAAAAACCAGAACGCATCCTAAGAGGGTGCGCTCCTACAGCCTATAGGGAATTCACTCTGTTCACTTTAAAATTTAACAAGCACAACAGAATAAAACAAAAAGGGCATACTCACAATACCTGAGAGGACACAGCTGACCACACATCTTGAAACCCTATGAATAAAACCTGTTTGCAAAAAGCAAATGCCATTAAAAGTCCTTCATGGGATGGTTGAGAATCCCGGACGAGCCCCCATTGTGTTACATCCTCTATTGGTGGATATGGAGAAGGACGGGGAGTAACACAGAGGCATGTGCTTCAGTTGTGGAAATTGTAAACATTGATTTATTAAAAGGACTTTAAAATGACAAAAAGCTCCAAATCTAAAAGTACTTAAACACATTGTTAAAATGGCCAAGGGTTTACGTTTTAAAACAGACATCGAATGCTCCCTTAAAAGAAAGAAAAAAAACAAAACACGTTCAACCACAATTTTTTTTCTTTCACCTTTGTCCTCCATGGCTTTTATCACAAACACTCCCAGGTCTTTTGTCCAACAAGAATTCCCTCTAGCTAATGGAAGGAGTCCTAGCTGATCTCCACCCTAGTCTTCATGGGGCGTAGAGATGGGCTGATTAAGCACATGTGCCGAGGCACATTCAAACCAGCAAAGGGAGGGGGTTAGCCACAGCCCTTCCTGGGGTGCTCCCGAGATGGTGAACTGAATCACCAACACTAACCTCCATAATCCCAACTCTAGAAAAACAAAAACCAGAACGCATCCTAAAGAGGGTGCGCTCCTACAGCCTATAGGGAATTCACTCTGTTCACTTTAAAATTTAACAAGCACAACAGAATAAAACAAAAAGGGCATACTCACAATACCTGAGAGGACACAGCTGACCACACATCTTAAAACCCTATGAATAAAACCTGTTTGCAAAAAGCACATGCCATTAAAAGTCCTTCATGGGGTGGTTGAGAATCCCGGACGAGCCCCCATTGTGTTACGTCCTCTATTGGTGGATATGGAGAAGGACGGGGAGTAACACAGAGGCATGTGCTTCAGTTGTGGAAATTGTAAACATTGATTTATTAAAAGGATTTTAAAATGACAAAAAGCTCCAAATCTAAAAGTACTTAAACACATTGTTAAAATGGCCAAGGGTTTACGTTTAAAACAGACATCGAATGCTCCCAAAGATTCACAAAACAAAGTCCACTGACTTAAACACAAGTTTGGGAGCCAAGAGGTAACCAGCACTCTGGTCCCTCGTCTGTTAAAAACCTCTAAAAGCTCTTAAGCTTCACTAAGCTTAAAGAACTAAAAACCCATTTAAAAGCCATGAAAACACAAACAAATGGAGCACATGAGAGAACTGGCACAGATCCAGTCTCTCCCTTCCTCCTGGCAGCTCTCCCTTTTATGCTGCTCAGGAGGTGATCAGCCCAAGTGAGTGCAGCTGTGCAGGTAGGAGGTGGAGGCAGCACTGATTGTCCTCTGCAGTGTCAGATTTCTGAGGCAAACAGCAACAGCCGTAACAGGCTCCCAGACGGCGGCTCAGTACACCTCTTGCTTCCGGATGACAGCCGCTCGGTTGAGGTGGGATGACGACGCCCTAAAGGCCGTTTACCTGGAGGGGTTGTCACCTAGAATCCGAGAGGGCATGATCGGACACGAATCCCCCACCTCCCTGGACCTGGCAGTGGATCTGGCTCTCCAGCTGGACAGCTGCATCCTGAACAGGCCGAGCACCACGTCAGCTCCCATCCACACCAGAACGTCACCCCGTCGTCCGGCTCACCAACCGACGGAGGAGCCGATGCAGCTCGGACATCTCCCCCCTGAGGAATGGGCACGGCGCTATCAGGAGGAACGATGCGCTTACTGTGGGGATTTGGGTCACCACTGTGGCACGTGCCCAAAAAGACCGGGAAACGGTCTCCACGTGACTATTGACCAACACCTGGAGAACCTCCACTTCCTGGTCATCCAGGCTCCGGCTACACCACTCATCCTGGGTCACTCCTGGTTCTGCCGTCATGAGCCTCACATCTCCTGGTCCACCAGTAAGGTCCTTGCCTAGGGCATGGGTTGCCAGAACCACCGGGGCTCCCCTACACCTCGGACTGGAGCAGCTCCTCCCAAAGACGTAGACCTGACGCTCGTCCCTCCTCAATACCACGACCTCGCTCAGGTCTTCGCTAAAGAACCCACTACCAGGCTACCTCCTCATCGACCCTATGACCTGGAGATCAGGCTCCAGCCCGTCAACCCCCCCCCCCCCCCCCCCCCACCCCCCCCCACCCCGGGGTCGCCTGTTCTCCCTCTCTCCGGCGGAAACCCGGGCAATGGACATTTATATAACTGATGCCCTCCAGAAGGGATTCATCCGTCCCTCAACATCCACCGGGGCCGCAGGGTTTTTCTTTGTAAAGAAGAAGGAGGGGGATCTCCGGCCCTGTATTGACTATCGAGGGTTAAATAAAATAACGATCCGGGACCGTCACCCTCTCCCTCTCATTGGCACCGCCCTGGACGCCATCACACAAGCCGCTGTATTCACTAAACTGGACCTGTGCAGCGCTTATAACCTCATCCGTATCAAGGAGGGTGAGGAGTGGAAGACTGCGTTTATCATGCCCACCGGCCACTATGAATATTTGGTGATGCCTTTTGGCCTCTGCAACAGCCCCGCCGTCTTCCAGCAGTTCATTACAGATGTGCTGAGAGACATGTTGGGCCGCTGGGTCTTTGCTTATCTAGATGACATCCTCATCTACTCCCGCACGGCCGAAGAGCACATCCGGCATGTTCGAGCTGTTCTGTCCCGCCTCCTGGATCATGGACTGTACTGCAAACTGGAAAAGTGTGCGTTTCACCAGGAGTCCACCTCCTTCCTGGGTTTTACCATCTCCTCCCGGGGCCTGAAGATGGACCCTCAGAAGGTTCAGGCAGTAGCTCAGTGGCCTCTACCCACGACCCTGAAGCAGTTGCAAAGCTTCCTGGGTTTCTCGAACTTTTATCGGAGGTTTATACGCAACTTCAGTTCCCTCGCAGCACCTCTGACCTCACTCACCAAAACCACCAATCAGCCTCGCCCTTTTCGCCTTACTCCAGAGGCTGTCCGGGCTTTCCATGATCTGGTCGGACATTTTAATAAAGAACCCATCCTCCTCCACCCGGACAAGACCCGACCCTTCGTTGTGGAGGTGGACGCCTCTGATGTGGGAGCAGGGGCCGTCCTCTTGCAACGGGGTCCAGACTCTAAGCTCCACCCATGCGCCTACTTCTCCCGGAAGTTTTCCCCCACACAGCAGAACTATGGGGTCGGCGACAGAGAACTGCTGGCTATAAAATGGGCTCTGGAGGAATGAAGGCAGTGACTCTTGGGGACCACCGATCCCTTTCTGATCTGAACCGACCACCAGACTCTCATTCATCTACAGACTGCCCGCCAACTCAACCCTCGTCAGGCTTGGTGGGCTCTCTTTTTCGAGCCATACAACTTTCATATCGCCTACCGGCCCGGCTCCAAGAACCTCAAGGCAGATGCTCTCTCTCTGCGTTTTGCACCAGAGTCAAGCCCCCTGGAGCCTCTGACCATTCTGCCGACTCAACGCTTCCTGGCCTCCCTCCAATGGCCGTTGGAGCAGTCCATACGGGCCGCACTTCCAGGCGATCCGGCGCCTCCAGAGACTCTACCAAACCGCCTCTACGTTCCAGCCTCCTGCCGACAAGAGGCACTCACGTGGGGGCATTGTTCACCGCTCGCGGGACATCAAGGACAAGCCCGTACCCTCCAGTTCCTCCATCGGGCTCGCTGGTGGCCGTCCATGAGGAGTGATGTCCGCGAGTTCACTGCTGCATGTGAAGTGTGTGCACGGACCAAGTCATCTAACTGACCCGGCGCTGGAGATTTACAACCTCTCCCTGTGCCCAAGCGGCCGTGGGCACACATCGGGCTGGATTTTGTCACGGGACTGCCAGTTGTCGACCACTTGGACACCATACTGACCATCACGGACCGTTTCTCCAAGGCCGTGCACTTGGTGGCCCTGGCCGGTCTCCCCACTGCCAAGAGGACGGCCAAACTACTCCTCGAACAGGTGGTGCGGCTCCGTGGTTTCCCCCAGGACGTGGTCTCCGACCGGGGACCCCAGTTCATCTCACGCTTCTGGAAAGTGTTCTGTCGCCTGGTCTGCGCTTCCAACAGCCTGTCCTCTGGGTACCATCCGCAGACGAACGGTCAGACGGAGAGAGCTAACCCGCAGCTTGGACGCTACTTGCGGTGCTTCGCTTCGTCCCAGCCAACCACCTGGCCCCGCTTCCTCCTGTGGGCGGAACTGTCCCACAACCTCCAGACCTCCTCTGCCACGAGTATGTCTCCCTTCGAGACCTGTTATGGGTACCAGCCCCCTCTGTTCGATCATCAGGTGCCAGAGGTGGAGGTCCCTGCTGCCCAGACGCTGGTCCGCCGCTGTCGGCTCGCTTGGATCTGGGCACGTGCGGCCATCACCCGGACCAACACGGAGTATGCCCATCAACATCGCCGCCGCCACCAGCCTGGCCCCGTCTTCCGGTCTGGTGACCAGGTGGGCTCTCCTCCGCTAATCTGAGGATGCCGGCTGGCTCCAGGAAGCTCACTCCTCGCTTCCTGGGTCCGTTCCCTGTCCTCAGGGTCATCAACCCGGTCACTTACCATCTGCGCCTCCCGGCTGCTCTCTGGATCCGCCCGGTCTTTCACGTCTCCCAGCTGAAGCCGGTGGTCTCCTCTCCTCTCCACCCTCCGACGACCCGGGTTCCTCCGTCCCGCTGTGTGGAGGAGGATCGCATCTACACGGTCCGCAAGGTTCTGGACGCTCGCTGCCTGGGACGTGGTTGGCAGTACCTGGTGGACTGGGAGGGGTACGGCCCGGAGGAGCGCTCTTAGGAGCCCACAAGCTCGTTTGTCGACCCTACCCTGCTATCTGACTTCTGGGCCCGGCGTCCTGGGACTTCGGGAGCCATCCCTCGGGGGGGGGGGGGGGGGGGGGGGGGGGGGGTCCTGTCACGAACTCCTCCAGCTGACTCCATTTCCCAGCATTCTCGCCACCATTTCCCATCATTCCCGCCACCAACGTGGCCACCGACGTCATCATGCCGACACTATATAAGGAAGTGCCGGCGTTTCATTCATTAGTCTCTCATCGTTCTCACCTGACTTTGAATCGAGTTCTCAGGCTTACCAGCCTTCAAACCTTCAAACCGAACCTAAAGGAGCTAAACCCCGCTGTTTATCTCCACCACTCCAAGTCTGGGCAACAGACCTTCTCAGCCACGCTTCAGCTCTGCCACCAAACCTGACAGAAATCTCTTTAATAAATCATAGAAATGTGTGTAGGCTATTAGAGAATAACTCTGTAATATTTAATAACTTTATCTAAGTCCTACTGAACGAAAAGATACACAAAATCTAAAATTATATTCTTGAAATATTTGTTTCATTTTAATAATAAAAATTTAAAACATTTACTTTACAAATTCACTAAACATATACATGCCTATAGTTTAACTTTCAATTTAACGATCTCTCACTTTTCTCAGTTTTCATAGTGTTTTTGGGTCTGTGTGGCCAACGGGATCTTTGGCTCTATGTTTTACACTGAGAGCTTTGAGCAACGTGCCTCCACCACACATTTGCTTCAACCAGTTCATCCCTAAGCTGCACGGTGCACCTGCACTTTGACATATTGTAAACAACTGTAGAGCCTGGGGAAGACGAGATAAGAGCGGTTAAACGCTGTGGTTTTCCATACATCGGACCAGTTAGTTTTGATTCTACCATATTCATTTGCTAAATAGAATGAAGCGCAGACATTTTCATCGATCTATAAATGCTCCGCAGATTCCTGGGGCAGACCGTGAAAGCGTACGTGTCCGGAAAAAGGAACTTTTGGTCTCCTTCGTGAATGGAATAATAATATCGGAATAATCCTGGAATGACCAGAGAACAAGAAGTGACAACTTTTTTTTTTTTACTGTGGTGGTGGTGGTCTGTCATAAAGGGATCTCCAACCGGTGATCAAAATCTAAAGATAATCGGTGTCTATATTTGACATTTATGACCACATTTGACATACATATTTAAGTTGGTAGAACAAGCGTGTGATAAATGACTTACTGCTGGAAACTGCTGGCTTTTTGATTCTTGCCTCCTGTGAGCCTGCGGGCCGCTGTGAAGCTGTGAGCGGGGCAGAGCCGGCAGCCCCGCCCGTTGGAAACAGCGCGTGTGGACCGACCGTACCAACTTGAGGAATTGGGGGGGGGGGGGGGGGGGGGGGGGACTATAATTTCTCAACAATTAAAAACACATTGTTTTGTATTCGCAGAATAACTTTTACGTTGTGGTTTTAGAAGACAATACAGGTTTACTGATAGCATTTATGTGTTTACAATAACTTTTTTGGGGGGGACTCGGGGACTCCCCCCCTCCCCCCCCCCCCCCCGGGATCTCCGCCTATGGTTGGGTGCAAAAGAGGATGAACAAATGAGGAAGCAACATCATCAATGTGTGTGAGCAAGGCCTCAGAACTCCTTGTCGCAAGATTCGAGGAAGACAAGCTGGTATCCAACCTCGTCAGTAGATAACCACTAGCTTTTACCAAAAAATGTAACTTTCTGTCACCATCCCCGTGTCTAAAGCCCATAGATTTGTTTTAGACATGGAAGAGGGAAAAATTGATCCACTAAAAGGACCAAAACACAATACAATGAAATTCACAGAGCAGGAGGACTGCACCGGTGTAGCGCAGAGCCCCAAAATGTTGCACAGTTTCTCCTTCACACACACACACACACACACACACACACACACACACACACACACACACACACACACACACACACACACACACAACGGTGTGAGTGAGTGTGCCTGGAACTATCATGCTGTCTTGCTCCAAACAACTGTGACATGTAGACACGAAAAGCGAGAAATCACACCACACATGCTCTTACCAGTGGACCAGCCGGCACATTTATCGATCACTTCCACTGCTTTTTACACTCATTTATACATTAGTAATTACCTTTATTCACACACTCAGAGAGATGTTGCCATAAACATGAGAGATGTGCATCGTGGAGAAAGAAAACAATCTTCAAATTATTTTAATCTTTTTTTCATACCTTATATCATCTTTTAGTGATGCATATTTCAGAACTATTAGGCTGCCTATAAATCTGATAACTTTACTGACAAAATGCTTTGTGTAAATCTTGA